CTGTTTTCTGGACGCAGATTCGCTCCATCAGATAACGGCGAGGACTGAGCGTCTGATTCAGTTTTAGACTAATTGCTCCTCCACAGTCCGTCAGGGGAGCATGTGTCTGTCTGCATCCTAATGACACCCTTCACAGTTGGAGATTGAACCCCCGCCCTGGGTGTCCTGGACGCCCTGCAGGCAGCACGCACACATCATAACACCCCACTCACCTGACGTGCTGCTCCCTCACCTTTCCTGAATGTCAGCCCTGCTCTCTTCTCCTGCCAACATCTTTAATTTTTCACAGAGGAAGAAAACAGCTGAGCAGAACAAACATGAATGAAGGTGTTTTTCTGGATCTCCGGCCTCTGCAGTGTTTGCACAGCGTTTGAGTGTGGAGGACGCGTCATGCTGTATCGTCCTCCTTTTATATTCACGCTCTCTGCCTGTTCTTGTCATGAAGTCCAGGCTGCAGGTTTTCCAGGGAGAAGAAAGTGCCGAGTGCTGCATGTTTCTGTGAATAGATCCTGTTTTCAGAGATTAATGGAGTCAGATTATCAGACGGTTCTACTCCAGTGTGGCCGACTGTAACTGAGGTCCAGTATGTTGTTGATTAATCAATCAGTGGGAAGTTCGATTACTGACACTGTCAGGCGGAGCGGAGATGCCTCTGTCAACTATTGAGCGCCGGGCAGTATAGCACTATAGATTAAAAAACCACAGAAGAAGAAGAAGAAGGATTAAAAATGTAAACTGTAGTCTGACCGTAGGGGATGAAGACGGTTTGATGCTTCGGGGTCCACGCTCCGCTGAAGGCCGGGGTTGATGTAGTAAACTGATCATCATGAGGAAACGTTTAAACCTGATGAACCTTTTGAACCTCAGCTCATGTTCAGACCCCCTTTTATTCTAGTATAGAGATGGTTTAGAGTCAGTCTGAAGTAGGGCTGGGTGATATGGGCTCAAAAAAATTTCACAGTAAGACGTGCCATTCTGGCGATAACGATAAAAGTCCCGATTAAAAAATATTAAAATTCTAATCTGTATTTTTGACTTATTCTGTCTTAAGATCACCAGTTGAAATAATCAAATCAGATACTGAACCACGAGTCTGAGAGGAAGATTATGGAGAAAACTAATCAAACAAGTTTGTTGAAAACTCTTCTTGCACAGACTGACCAGCAGCAGCAGATCCACAGTCCAGAGTCAGGCAGACCTGATTGGACTCCTCTAAACCCCGATCTTGAAGGAAGTCCCTCATGTGGATCCTCGTTCGGTAACCAGCTGCTCAGAAACGTCTTCTTCATCACCTTCGGCCATGTTTGTTTGTTATTCTGTGTGGGTTACAGCTGCGAGTCCGTCGCTCACGATTATGTCATCAACTTGCATCCAGAAAAAATAGAACTCTTGTGATCAGTGGAGTTCGGTGATCCGCAGAGGAACGGAAAGAAGTCGGTGTAAATCGACACGTTAACTTGAATGGTTACGATCAGCTACGATCGGAGGATACGACCTTTTAGGAGACGATCAGGATGAAGGTGGAGGTCGGGGGTTAAAAGGACATGAGACCATAGTCTACTGACACACATCCAAAACCAACTTTTATTTTTTTATTTGACACAGAATGTACCGACATGGACAAAATGACGTCGGTTATTGTCGTAAATTTGGGTATCTGTGAATCTTCAGTTTATCGCCCAGCCCTACGGTGAAAACAAAGGAGTCTCTTTTTGGCCAAAGTTACTCTGAGACAAACCTTAGCTAACCTAGATAAGTAACTGGACTCCATGAGGAAGACCAAAAAGTAAATGTGAAAATATTTGAGGGAAAACAAATTATATTCCATCTGTGGAAAAATGGAAGAAATCTCTATTTTTTAATCTTGTGTGAAACAGCCCACATCTGTTCTGTTCTGTCTGTAATCGTTCTGAATAAATCTTCCTTCAGTTCAAACTTTTGCATGTTTGTTTGTTCACATCGGCACACACACACACACACACACACACACACACACACACACACACACACACACACACACACACGGCTCGGTGAAACAGCTGCGAAAGAAGAAGAAAACTTTTGTAGCCTGCTGAGGATATTTAATTCTTAACCTTGAAACTGAACTGAATTGGATATATTCATGATTTTTCAGCTGTGGGGCCCGAACAGCTCGTTGTCGTTGTTGTTGTTGTTGTTTTTCCGGCAGCGGTGAACTGTGATCACACAATCAGCAGAGTTTGTGGAGGAAGGTTGTCGGAAAAGCTCGGGCGATCCGAGGCGTTTTCTCTTTGCCCTTTCACTGCGCTCACTTTCACTTTAATACCGAGCTCAGCTTAAATCTGCCCTTTACACAAATGATTATAAAGTATTAAAAGTTCGAAGCAAATGTCAGCTACCTGACCAGTGGCTGCGGTGGCCTGAAACACTTTGATGAAAACGACTCCAAACTCTGCTGCGCTCAGATCAATAAACAGAAAAGACGGATTAATTTTCACTCTCCTTCTGTGTCGCGCACAAA